TAGTTATCTTGAGGCAGCAAAATGAGTTAATAATAGGTAGTTTAAGTCAACATGCCAAGCATTTCTGCTTCTCAAACAACCCAACTCTAAGGCTAGAATGGGACATTTATTAAAAACACTGGCAAAGACTGTCAAAGTGAGACCTTTCATATCCATAATTCCTACCATCTGTAACATCTTATGTTACATAAGATCCCCAATTACCAGTAGCAGTGTTAATCCATCATCTGTCCTAAATATTTTTAGATGTTCTCTATACACTCTCCTTAGCCCCACTTTCTGTTTTTATGAATGTATGTTCTTTACTTGCCACAATTAATTTTATGGTGACTTTATCATATCAGAGGTCTATCAAAAATCCTTTAGGAATAATTTTTCAGAAGCAGTATTAGGTGCAATAACAGGTTATATTGAAATCAAAGAAAAATCTTACAAGTCTCTTAACTAAGGAGAGGCAATCCAGTTTCATCTCCCATCACATAATATTACAAATATGCTTTCTTACAGAATTATTATTTCTACCTAGATAAGTAACTCGGTAAGTATGTGGTATTATTTGTAATAATAAGAAAAAAAAACAATGTATGTTCAGGAAATTACTAATGCTAATTATTTCAGAATGCATCTATTCTATCAATTCTTAATCAGCACTATAGCACTGATTTACTCAAAGACTTAATACTCCTTAAGTTCCAGTTGGAATACAGACACTGTGAGTCAAATATATGTGAGAAATTTTTTACCATTTGTTAAAATAAGAAGGTATAGAACAGTATCACTGTTTTTTTTTAAATGGTAATACTATCATATATCCCTAAATAGAATTGTGTGCCTTCTGAGGTATTGAGCTCTTCTCAATACAAAGACTAGATATTATATACCAAAGAGTATTTAAAAAAATAAAATCTTATTGTTGGCACACTTTCCAAATGGAGACAGTTTTATGTGTAACACACACTGTGGGTCCCCACACAGATGCCCTAGGCCTACCCACAATGTCAATGGCAGTAGTGATGGGCAGGTACCATGGCGGCGTCCGTGTTCTACCCGAGGGCCAACTCTCTCCACTTTCCTATCCCTGGCATGCATGTAGGCATGCACACACATGCAGATAGATCATGTATTGGTCTAATCCAGGTACAAAAAGGGGAAAACACTTCCAACAAGAATTCCTTCCAAAGAAATGGATATATCCATAGGTTTAAAAAATATTGAGAATTAAAATACAATAATATATAAAAGTTTTTGCTGAAAATTTCTAAGTGTGGATAAAGTGTACTATTTTCTATGAAAATGAAAACTATTAAAAATTAAAAAATGCATAGAGTACACAAACAAAGTTGACAAATATGGAAGAAATTGAGCACGTTGACTGAAGAATGCCTTCCAAAAAAATGTGGATTGAAATGGTTTCTTAAACAATTGTTTTGGACCTTTAAACAACATATAATTCTTCAGTTTTTCAAAAATTTAAATCCCCTCTCACCACTTTTATTTAACATTGTGCTAGAAGTTTTAGTTAGTGTTATAGAGCAAGAAAAAATAAAAGAGATTCTGACTGCTAAAGGAAAAATAAAACTTCTAGTCCTTATTCACAAGTAGTCTATGCCAAACATCTAATGAAATCAAAGACAACCTAACTAAGTGGGATTTACAATATTCATGGGTCATACAACTTAATATTGTTAATATGTTTATTCTCCCAAATTAATGTATAGATTCAAAGAAATCCCAATAAAATCCCAGCAAGATTTTTGGTGGGTTGGAAATCAAAAAGTTGACTATAATATTCCAATGGAAATGAAAAGGCCAAAATAGCCAAAACTAATTTGAAAAGGAACAAAATTACTTTTTTAATGGAACAGCAATTAAAGTCTCTGAGAACATATTTCAGGAAACTTGATAAGAGCAATGCCTGTATGGTACAGACACTGTCAGATATACATCACAGAAAGAGGCATGCTGGCTATGTAGAGAACACATTAAAAGAGGGAGAAAGCAAAGTCTGAGTGGTCTAAGGGACAGACAATGAAGCTTGGAGTAAATAAAACAAAACAAACCAGGGAGGATTTGATAGTTTTTGAGAACCCTTTAGAAAAGATATTTGTTAGGTCTCAATAATCAGCTAGAAGACTAGGGAGTAAAGAGAAAAAAGAGTCATACCTATGAATTGGGCTTGAATCTGAAGACATTGTGAAAATGAAAACTCAAAACAATACCTGGTGGGCCTTTCCAAATGACTTTCTGTTCATCTTATGTGATAGTTAGAAGCCCCAGGAAAAAGAAAAATGCATTTTACAGCTACCTAGCAACTTCATTTTTAGAATGAACGCATCATCTTTGCTCTCCATAGTTCTAGAGACAAAGCTGAACCAACTAATAGTGCTTAGAGGTTCTAGGATAAATGGCTGTGAACTGTTCAGACACTTCTAGATTGCTATCCAAGGTGCTGAATCAATTTGTCTGGTTTTTGGAAACTGCTTCTGTTGCCTTTCTGCCCCTGCCTCTGATGGAATGACTGCCTTGACCCAGTACGAGACTTTATCTGATGAACATTCCTGCCCTTGCTAGAACTAGCTGATTCTGATTTTTTGATCAAGACATCACCCCGATCTCTCAGCTGGACTCTTAGCAGATCAGCGGTTGGCTGCAAGCTCTTCATGTCCATGGGAGTTAAAACTATCCTGACAGGTAGGTAAATATTTCCTCTAGGAATAAAATCAACCAGCCAGGAGAGTAGAAAACTTGTTACTGTGGCTGGTTGTGAGCTGTAAAAATCAATTTCCAAGCATTCATTTCAGCACACTCATGTTTCAGGACCCTGAAGTTTGTGGTTTGCAGGCAACTTCTATTGGTCACTAGCATATGCTGAGTTCGACCCTGTAAGGGACATTTTAATGCCCACAGGAACTGAGAATCTAGTGGAAAAAAGCAAACATATAAATTTAAAGTATTGTGCAGTGATCTATCTTTAGTATCAAATAAATTAAATGCATTAGGGACCAAGAAGAAAAAGGATCAGCACGGACTGGGGTAGTTGGGGGAAGTTTCTTGGAGGAGGTGGAGTATGACCTGGGCCTTGGTGTAATGGCAGACTTTAGGTAAGCAGTGAGGTAGAGGGTGTGTATGAATGATTCCACAATGGAGTGGAGACAGTAAATCCTCACCTGATTCAACCTGGAGCTCCCTGGCCTTTCATCCTCCCCACCTGTATTTGCATGTAATACCATCACCTTTCCATCCCTCTGCACAGTGATTGCATTATATCTTTTATACAAAAGGAAGAAAGTTCTTTCAAATATATTGACATTTGGAAGAAAAAATTTCATAGTTTCCCCCAAGTACTTTTGATATTTTTTAGAGACATGTTTCTTTGAGGTACAAGGAGCCTTTAAAAACTGCTGGTCTTCAAGCACCAACATTGAAGACTTTAGCCCTTGGGTGGCTTAGGAATGGTTAATAAAATATAGATCCTGACTTGAAACAAAGTCTGTCATGGTGCAAACGAGGACAGTTTTAAAGTGGACAGGAAGCACAGGCAAAGAGGAGGGATCTGGAAATGTGCTACTTAATGGAGAAAACTGGAAGATTTCATTGAGAAAAGACTTTAAGTGAGTTTATGAGAACTTTCAGTCTAAAAGACTCTTCCTAAACTAAATTCTAGGACATCAAAAATCTTACCACAATTTTGAAGGGTATTTTGATGGAGGCAGTTTGCAGAAGGTACCTAGTTTCAGGAAATCCATCTCCAACACTCCCAGCATTTTGTGTAAGAGAAAGTGGACAAGAGAAAAGCTACAGAAGTAAACATATAGTCTCAGACACTTGATTTGACCAGGGCAGGAAACCTCCCTTCTTTGGAGTTTGATATTTGGGCTGAAACAGACAGAACAGCCAAGACCTCTCAGTATTTAGATACCTTGTAGATGTAATCAGGGTCGGGGGTGGTTTCTACTAATAAAGATCAGGATATTGGCATTGGATAGATTAATGTACTTAATGAATATAAAGTTTAAATAAATCAATATTTAGTATTATTTAATGAGTCACTTAGTTTGTGATGAGTAACTATAGTACAGACCTTTCAAACAGCTAACATTTAGAAGTTCTATCTACTCATTGATAACCTAAAGCACAGAATCACGTGTAAATACAAATTGAAATATTCACCAGGTTTCATGAATGCAGCCAGCTGAACTCCTCATCCCATCCTTCTAAGGGAACCCTGATTCACAATTTTTCTGGGTTGTATGAAGTGTGTTCAAGTCCTCACTAGTTGTATTCCTCTTAATGATCACACATATGTTCTACTCCTCATCTTCTCTTACATTAATTTTTTTCTCAACACTCATTTAATTAGGATCTCTCTCTCTCCCAGATTTTGTCCACTTATAATTGGTCCACATGTCAGTTTATAGAAAATGTCCCATTTCTATTTCTTTCTCTTTGTTTTTCGTACAGGACATCATAGGCTTCTCTTAGATACTCTGACCCATTATGATAACACATAACTAGGTCTCAGGTGATCAGCTTAAAAGGTACAGGCATTAAAAGTAATGCTCTAGGACATTTTTCAATGTTCAATATTGAAGAGAATTGCTTTAGAACTAAAGTTGCCTGAAAAAAAAAACTGTACTTACAAGCAACAGGCTACTTGCTGATTTTGCCAAATTCATCAAGTGCTGCGGTACTCCAAAGAATGATTAAAACAGCATTTATTAGGGTTTCATAGCCTCCTAGGACAAGCATATCTCATGCATTTCTAGATATCAATCATGTCTCTATTTTATGTTTTTTCCTAATGAGGAGTCTTTGCTGAAATGAGTAAGATATAGCTCATATCAAGAGCAGTAACATTTTGGGTGTTTCATGTTGCATATGAAGAAACTGAGGCATAGAGAAGTCAAAGGCAGATGGTTTCCTGGTGCCCAGAACAGACGTTTAGCAAATATCTGTTTGGCATGTACCTATGATCATGTGCTTTCACCCACTCAACCTTGAACATCATGTAAAATAAAGGTGCATTTTTAAATATATGTACCAAACTTTAATTTTCATTTCACACCCAAAACTTCTGTACAAAAAGAGGCAAAGCAGGCCAAAAAAATTACAATGACTTTAGCAAACAATACATGACAACTTTAAAAGAGCTTTGTGTATACAACAGCCTTTATAGATGTAGTGGGGAAATTGAGCTTCAAAGTATTTGTTTCCTTAAGATAAAATTTGAATATTTATTATTAATATCTAGAAAAACTCACAGCTGTCTAGAATACAAGATTGAATGAGAAGTCTCTAAATTCTACTAGACAATTGGATCCCAAAATTGAGTAGGTTTTATTTTCCTTTTGAGGAAGCACGGAATTATTTTTACTTAAATGTGATGATGTATCAAAAATTTCAGTTTACCATTAATATCTTGATATAATGGTGATGTCTAAGAACAAACTTTGATAGGGCATGATATTAACTAATAGTTAAAAGACCCAAAACTTTCTTTCTGGTTGTTAATGAATATGTCAGCCTGAATGGGTCACCACAATTCAAACATTTATTGCCACTTTTTTTCTCTTTTACTATCGATTCCTTGTGGCACATGAAAGGTTTCTGAGAACAAAGCTATAATGCGAAAACAGCAGTGGTTCTAAGAAATGTAATTTTCATTTTGTTGCTTGCCCCTGAAATAAATAGATGAGTAATGGAAAACGCTGTTTATTTGCAAACAGTGAGACATCAAATATGAAATATCATTGACACTGACATGGATACTGTCACTAGCACTTTCCCCTAAACACCCATGGGTCTTGGACGTATGTGCATGCAGCACAGAAACATGATTGTTCAAGGACCCCTGATGCCTGCAGGACAGTCCGTTAAAAGAATTTGTCTCCCACAGTAGCTCTGGAGTGGACCCAAGGCCCACCACCTGTTAGTGATCACAGACACTCAGTTAACCTGTCCTGCTATTCAGAGGCAACAGTTCAGACCCTAGGCTTTTGAGAATCTATATACCGGTGACTGCCTCCTGGCTTTGAGACAAGATGACCTGGCTCAGTTGGGGCAGGCCAGCAGCCCCTCCCATATATTTGGTCCCAACTGGTAGAAAGTCTAATGAAAAATTATAAACGTGCTCAACTATTTACTCTGCAAGTCCATTCCTCTTTCCAAGACTTAATCACCTTTCCTGATAAAGGAGGAAAATGGACCCAATGATGATAAACATTCAGTGCCTCTATATTTCTAATCTTGATAGTTGTCACCCAAGGATAACATGTGGCTGCCGGATATAAGAACTTTTCTTAAGCTGGATATTTATTTCGATAACAAATTTGTTCACCCGCTGTTACCCCATGTTCTGGCTCCCTCTGGGATTTTAGAGCCCTTAGGCTTTAGAAGGTCCTGAAGGCCACCCAGCACGTTTCTTTTCTGGAGAACATCACATCTGAGCAGCTGTACTGGTTCAGTTTGAAAAGTTTTAGGGACAAGGGCCTTTCCTTTCTCTGTTGACTGACATTTAGATAGAGACCAGAGTCTGTTCTTCCACTTGGCTGAATTTCTTTGTTATAAATAAGACAAAACAAACACATGTCTCCCCTTTTCTTGGAGGACTCAAGGGAATGCCAGCTGGCCACTAAATTTAGAAAGCAATGAGATGACAACTCATTTCTTGGGACATTTGTGAATGATGCTGAGCTCGAATGTACCCAGATCTGACTGCTGGAATGATCATTCACTGGGTAAGTCTTCCTATCTATCAGAAATAGGTAAGTAATGATGCCGGCCAGGCTGAGGACTATTTTAAAGCATCCAGTCTCTTCCCATAGTAGATATGCATAGGCCACGTGGTGAAAGAGAAAGCGTGGAATTAGGGGTGGGGCATCCTGGGCTCTGGTCCTACACTGGAGCAGGGGGTCTCTGATCGACTTTGCCCTCAGTCTCATTTTTTCCACTGGAGATTAGATTTCCACAATTTCATTCTAAGCTCTGATCTTCAGAGAGAGTGACTCTAGGCCTGGTCATATCGTCAATCATCAGGAGAAGGTGGGATTCTACTTGCAAAAGAAGGATGTAGGAGTAGGTCATTTTAATGACTCATAGCCTTAGAGGGCTCTTGGAATTGTCTGTTTCCAATGTCCATTTTATAGAAGAGGAAGGTGAGACAAAGAGCTTAAGTGACATCCCAAGACCACACTGGGAATCAGTAGGGCTAAACCCAGAAACTCTGACCAGGCTTTACACATTGCAACATGCTAGCTATGGGCTCAGGGAGGAGTTGTGTTTTGAAGATCAAATAACCAGAAAACACTGATCGTTTCCCCTCCATATTCCCCTGGTTTTTTGGTGACTAATGAAGTACCCCAGACCTCTGTTGTCATGTGAATGGTCCACAGAGAACAAAGCTCCTATTAGGAGGGGCTGTGTGCCCAGGGCTATGCGAACAGCTGGGATGCCCACAAACTTACCCAGCATTTCAAAAACAGAGCTCCATTTCCTCGTCCTTGTGGACAGAGGGCTGAAGCAGAGAGATGACTGTCCTATTGTTGGAGTACACTTCCTTCCAACCCGTCCCCCCACTTCCAAGGCAACCACCTTCATCAGCCCACTAGAACTGCATGCCTATCTATTCTTGCTTCTCTCCTGCTAACTGATTCCAATACAGGTGGCTTTCCTCTTGCAAAACTGAAAGGGAACTTCAGAGGGATCTAAATCCAGACAGAAAGGGAATATGTGGATGAACAAAACACGTGCAGGCAGAAAGGCTGCACGTGTGGTTTGCAGTCTCGGGAAAGAGAGGGGGGCGTGCCAAATTCCAAATGCTTGGGCTGGAATCTCTGCATGCATTTTTCTTTTTCTGAATTCCTCTCTCCCTCTGTCAGGATACCAGTCATGTTTCTTGTAGCTGAGCCGACACAGGAAATCAAATACTTTATGTTTCTACAACTATGCTTCCCAGAGAGCTTACACATCTAGAATTTAAACACTACCACAAACTATTAGCAATTTCTGATTGTTACAGGTCTAGTTACAGGACTCCAGTGGCAAAGTTCAAAGTCTCCACATTTTGCCCTTGGAGGAGGGGTTTTGTTTTAGACATCAAAGGTAAGGCTCTCAAGTCAATTTATGCTCTGCTGGGTTGAGTCAGTCAGGATACAAATTAAGGTCCATATATTTCAGTGACAAGAAGGAAACGGTTATGTAAATACACAAGTATTAACATCAATCTGTATTAAATTATGTAAACATATACATCTTCTGAGGTCAGTACATAGATCCTCTTCTTGGAGCAGAGCTTTACTGAAGCATTGCTCGAATCTGTTTGGAAGTCGATTCATCATTCAAGTGCTTTGTAGTGAACCTGGACGGAGAGAAAATGATGGAGTTCACTGTGCAAATAGTGCTCTGTGAAAGCTTCAGTAATGACTCACCAGCCCATCTTTACCTTGGGATGCACAAATAATACTTATAAATCAACCTTGGGCTTGGTTCTTTTGACAGAGAGCTACATTCCAATGCCCAGCGTAGTCCATACGGATTGAATATTGGATTCTTCCTTATTGGTTATTAAAGAAGTAGATCAAATAATCAAATAATTACAGAGGAGATACACTAAGCAATCTCATTTTTCCAGAGAGCTAGACTTCACATGCCTGAGTGTAGAATCTTGGTCATCTTGGCTAGCCCTGCTAAGCCATGAATTTCAAAATATGGGTGTGCATAGGGACACAGTAGCACTAACAATATGTACAGTTTTCGCCTTTCCAGGCAACACTCATCCTCATTGTCACCACTAGGCGGCACACATGCAGGTGAACAAATAAAAAAAAGGGATGAAATCTGCCTCCTCACATTACTCTGGTGTAGAAACAGTTTACGAAGAGGAAAAAAGGAGAAAGAACGTGTAATAAAATCTTGACCACGTGATAGGCTCTCCATGCAAGTTTCCATTTCTCTCACACTAACTCTTTGCAGTAGAGGTTGTTTGCCTCCATTTCACAGATGTCGAAACAGAGATTTAGAGAGGTTAAGTGACCCATTCCAGATCACAAAGATGGCAATGAAGGATTGGTGAACAATTGGGGTCCAGGTCTGGCTGCCTCAGAAGCCTGTGCCCTGTCACTTTATCACATGGCCTACAGGAGACACACATGCTAGCATTCAGAGGGGACCACAGCACACCACAGTGCCCTGTCTAGAAGTTTTGCTTGACTGAATGAAGCTGAAGAGTTCAAAAACTTCAATAGCTAAATTCTCCATACAGAGACAGAAGGCCTTCTATGAAATGGGTACCTCTGGAGAAAACCTTGGTTGACCCATAGAATCTGGAAGACTCTTGTATTCATTCTACAACTGTTTGAACAATGACGACTTAGGAGCACCACAAAACAAGGATCAGTCTCAGTGTCTAGTTAACTCATTTCATGTGCATCTCAGTTTCTTCACTTGTTGAATGAGGACAGTAGATAAGCCAATAATACAATGAGAGTGGGAGCGGAGCATAAAACTTAAGTGTTCTACGTGGGTGGAATATTACTGATCCATCCTACTTACACCCGTTGAATGCTTTCTGCATGCAAAATGCTGGGTGGAACTGAGGGAAATCAAAGATGGAGAAGACAGCAGAGGCTGGACACCTTCCAGATTGCAATCCAGTATTGGAATGATTTGCACAATGTATGATTTGACACATTCCTATAGCTGTGTCACAGCTAAAAAAGAATCCCTTTCTTGAAGGTACTTGGGCGTTCCTCATCAACAGTGAGGAGCAGCCATGAGCCACAGCTGCCAAATACTTGAGCATCCAGGCACTGTGGAACAGGGTCCCCAATTCTGGCAGCTGCAAATGGGAATGCCCAGGGAGCCTCACACACACACACACACACACAAACACAAAGGAATGCCTGAGCCACACCCTGAGATTCTCATTCACTTGATCTGGGCTGGACACTAAGCATCAGTGTTTTCTAAATCTACCCACATAATTGTTACATGCAGGCTGCTCTGGGAGCCACCGGTGATAGGGGAAGTGAGAGCTGGGAAGCTGCTTCATCTGACGTGCCCCTGCTAACCACAACCACGAAGCGCTGTGGCCAGGAAGTAGGCCCACAACCTGTGGGGTCACCCAGACCCAGTTTTAGGTCCTAGCTTGGCCATCCACTGTGTGACTTCTGGCAAGTTATTTGACTTCTCTAAATCTCATTCCCCACCCTCCCCCTCCCCGCCACCCCTATCTGTTTAAAGGAGATGATAAAATGGTACTGACCTTAACAGGTTGTTGGGAAAAGCAAATGTGTTAAACCATGCAAGGGATTAAATGTGGTGCCCCAGCCCTCAGTCCCTCACAGCATCTAAGGTGGCCAAGGACCTGAAGGGCTGGCTGCCCCTGGCAAGCCCACCCCAGGGCAGAGGCTCACCTGAGGGCGTTCAGCAGCCCCTCCACACTGTCCGGGGCCTGTTCCTTCAAAACCTTTATGCAGCCTTTCATCTAGAAGGAGAAAGCACAGCATTTTGTTAATATCCTAGTAATTCTGTTTATGATAACAGTTGTCCATTATAATATTTGTCCACAATAACATCACATTATTCCTGCTCACAGAAATGAAACACAGTAATAACCAACAGACTTTTTTTCTCCTCCTCTATACCCCTGCCCCTGGGCCCAGTGAGTTGCTCCTCTGGGCTTCTAGAAAGTTCTACATCGGTGGTTACACTATACTGCAACGGAACATTATACATATCTGGCATCTGGGGACAAAGACTTGAGCTTTTGATCTTCTTGTCTTATATTCCAAAGCCAAGTGCAGGGTTTTTTTCCCCCCCAGTAAGTGCTCAGTAGAGACTGAATGGATTACAACACGGATCGCTCTGCCTTATCCATCTACTTTTCCTCCTTCAACTGTTTACCAAACTCCAAACAAGTTTCCTAGGACTCATCTGAAGATTGCTCACACCAGGTAGCCTCTTCTGATGGCATTGCCTTCACCAGGCGGAAATCACCACCATTCTGCATTCACAATAGGACACTGGTATTTAAGAACCTTGGAGGTGTTGGTACCCAGATTAATGCATCCCCCTCACTAGACCAAGGGAGGACTGGGGAAGAACAGTGGCTGGGAATGTGAACCCCATGCAGGCAGAATGGCTGGGTTTAATTCACACGAGCATGTTTAGTGTCCTCGTGAATCTAGGCCAGTTTCTTAGCTTTTTCTGCCCTTGAAATAGAATTTATTCAAACTTTGGGAAGACCATGATAATTAAATTTATATAGATAACAATATATTATGCATTTCCTGGAATATTTTTGACAAAGGAAAAATCTTTCTGCAAAGAACAGAATCACTCATTTAACCTCAAATGTTCATGCGCTATTCTAGGTATAACTACACTAAGGGCCTCTTTTATAATGGTCACTTATAAACACTTTCTGGGGGTTACCTCTGGTATGCTGAAAGTTTTTCTTAAAAGCCTGATAAACCCCGATAGATTGATGGAGGCAGCCAAAGCACAGGGTTGAGAATCCTTTGGGGGCCATGCAGAGGCTCATCAAGAAAGAATGTCATGGTCAATCAGAGATGTCAGTCATGAGTATAGGATGAGATCAAGCTGAGGGATGCAGAGATTTAGTTCCTCTCAACAGAGCTCATAGTCTAGTGGGAGGAAAGAGACAAATAGCTCATTATCCTAGTGAGATATGTGCTGTTGTAAAAAATGCCAAAGGAGCAGTGGAAACATAGATTAGAAAAGGGCTGTAAGAGCAGTGGGTACCCTCTGGGAATTTCTAGTTCTATTTCAGGCTGAGCAAAGTTGTGGGTGTGAACAACAAGATGCAGTCAGGGATGTAGTCTAGGCTAGATTCAATGTGGGTTTCATAGCATGATACGAGTGTTTACCTGGAGAAAGCCCCCTTGATGGGTGTTAAACACCCATCTAGCACTGTGACTCCTATGGAAAATGGATCAGAAGAAGCAAGACTGGAGAAGGAGGACCCATGAGAGCTCCTAAGGGTGTAGAGTGTGAGAGCAGCCACAGCCATGGAGAATCAGGGACAGAGCAGAGGGATCAGTCTGAGGTCCAGTCCGCAGGGTTTAGTGACTGGATAAGATACGGGGGTGAAGAAGAGGGAAGACATTCCTAGGTTCTGAGAGACAATTATAGCTTCTGGCTTGGAGACTGGGTTGGAAGAAGGTGAAATACCTGAGACAATAACCCAGAGAAGGAACAGCCTTGTGAGCAAAGGATTACCTTTGATTTGAGGATGGCCATGTTTCCAGGTATCCAGAAGAGGTAAGGTCGGGGATGCTGGGTGTAATTTGGGCTAGACATGGGGTTATGGATCATTCCATACAATTCTAGGGAAATCAGTTGAAAATGCTATCTCATTTCAACCTGGTTTTCCTCACAGTCAAGAGTGACATCTCTTCTCTAAGTGATGTGTACCCGCCATGGACCTCAGTGACTTTGCTCCGGTGATTCCTTCTGCCTGGGAATGTTCCTCTGAGTTCCTCTGGTAAAATCCTACCCCTTCTTCAAGCCCTACCTCAAAAGCTGATGGTCCACCATGACCCTCTGTCTCTGCCTCTAAGCAGAATGAGTATCATCTTCACCTGGGTTTCTAGCACTCACTGCACATCTATTTTGCACTCCAGGGCATGTTGTTTGAAGTGCAGATACGGGTTTTTATGTCAGGGCCTTACAGGTAACTCTTTGTGCTTTCACAGCTGATATTGGCCTCTAAGGATTTATAAACCCAGTGCATTTAACTGCTAGCTTAGAAGCAGACTGGGAAGAGATCCTATATGTCATCAAAGAAAATGGCCCACAAAATCCATGTTGTATGGGGTTAGCCCAAAACTTTCTTAGAGATACATGCAAACTCCAGTACGAAAACATCTCTTAGTGATACCTGCATGAACAAACAGACTTCATCAAGATGATGTGTGGTTAAAGGTAACATTACATAATACTTATGATCTCAACAGACTCAGTAAATAAGAAGCAAGGACAAGGCTTTTGTAAAGGCTAGGGATACAAGACATTATTGTACCTTGTATATTTTTAATTATTGACTGTGACAAGTTAGCAAATGGCTATGGTAAAATGAGAATGTCTTGTGAGTGCCAGGTAATAAACTCCATATTCAAAAAATATTCATAGAGTTGTTAATAGAGTTATTTCTATTCAATCTATAGTATAAAAATGTTAAGCCTCACAAAGAACACAGTAAAATATTTATTATTATGAAAATTTCCATAATATACTGTTATATAAATTAAATGTTTTAAAAATAGAGATACAGAGGGCCCAGAGGCATTTGAAAGGATGCTCTGCATCACTAGCCATTAGAGAAATGCAGATCAAAACCACCATGAGGTACCACCTCACACCGGTCAGAATGGCCATCATAAACAGATCCACAAACAACAGGTGCTGGCGAGGCTGTGGAGAAAAGGGAACTCTAGTCCACTGTTGGTGGGAATGCAGACTGGTGCAGCCACTATGGAAAGCAGTGTGGAATTTCCTCAGAAAGCTGAAAATGGAACTGCCTTTTGATCCAGCGATTCCCCTGCTGGGACTATACCCTGAGAACACCAAAACGCCAATACAAAAGAACCTATGCACCCCCATGTCAACAGCACAATTTACAATAGCCAAGTGTTGGAAGCAACCTAAATGCCCATCAGTAGATGATTGGATCAAAAAATTATGGTACATATACACAATGGAATACTATGCAGCAGAAAGAAAAAAAGAAGTACTAAACTTCGCAACAGCATGGATGGAACTGGAGAGCATCATGCTAAGCGAAATAAGCCAGGGGGCAAAAGACACAATACCATATGATCTCACCTATAAGCGGAACCTAACCAACAATGCAAAGAAGCAAGGCAAATATGACCAGCAACACTGAAAGGAAAAGAAATCAACAGAGACAAGAGGGAAGTGGGGGGCAGGGAAAGGGAGGGGAAGGGGAAAGTCAAGGAACATATAGCAAGGACTCATGGACAAAACAAAGATGAGGGAGGGAAGGTGGGAGGGGGCAAGGGAGGGGGGAAGGCAGAGACAAATGTATTTAAAAAGTAAATAAATTAATTTAAAATAAATAAATAAATAAATTAAATAAAATGTATAATTATATTTAAAAATGCACAATTATCTTTAAAAATTCATATGTGGTTAAATATAATTTTCCTGCATGATTTTAAAATGATTTTTTCAACTTTTCATAATAAACACCTAATTTGTATAAGCATAAAAAAAAAATAGCTATTATCCTAGGGTGTCAATTTGTGAAGTATGTACACAAATACACACAAATATCTACATAAACAGGAAGGACATAAGTATACTGACAGTGGTCATCTCTCTGTAAGGAGGTTACTACAAATAAATTTAATTTTCTGTATTTTGATTTCCTCTATTTTCTAAAAATCTTCATACTAAATTTTTTTTGGTAGAAAAAATAATGACATTGAAAACAATGAAGACTATGTGAAAAGCCATGTCTAGCTATGCTAGGAAGCCAGATCCTCAAAAGGAGGAATACAGGTCTCATTTTTAATTGATCACTTTCTTACAGACTCATTGTCCCTCTGGGCATGTAGACTTTCTGTGTGTGCAGAGTTAAAGCATCAAAGATTCTGTTCTGTGCAGATGAAGGAGTATAGAAGGTGCTACCCAAACTCAGAGCGTCTGAATGTTAGTGCCAAGAGGTCCTATTCAATGCATGGGATACACTACTGGGTGATGTCTGAAGCAAGTGTTGGTCCCGCTATCAATGGGAAATCGCCTGCACACCAAAATCATGTCTTCCAATTATATTCATACATCGAGCAAAAACTCAGTGGAGCATCTATTGAGTTCCACGCTCTATGTGCCAAGGATGCTGCTAGGCAGTAAGTGAGACATTAGGTGTACAGATCTACAAAGGTCCTTGCTCTTATCAATGGACTGCATCTGCAAGGGAGTCAGAAAATCCAAAATGGTAAGTGCTCTGGGTGTCCCATGCAGGGACAGGATGAGAGCATGCTTGAGAAGTGTCTTCAAGGAACCTGCCCATCACAGAAGAGGAAGCATGCCCTGGGCAGGGCAAAGGGCTCAGGCATGGGACTCTGGTGGAGGTGCTGGGAAGCACAGGAGGAAAGGAAGTTTGGAAAGCTATCTGGGATCCAAGCGTGGTGTCTTGTAATCCACTATCTCCCAATCCTTTTCTCATAGAGACTCATAAAACATAATGAAAATATACAGGATCCAGCAAAAATAATGCTCCCTTTTTATTACAAAATCATATGTCATTCTGTAACATAACAACATCACACTCAAGCACACCATATGACACTTCAGGTGAACTGTTCAAATTAAAACTACCAATTATTACACCCATATTATTGCCCTACCAACCACACTCAAGCAGGAGTTCCTTCTGCCAGACCCTGTATTTATACAGCAGGGTAGGTCACCGGAAGGGGCAGCTTGCACCTGAGTGACCGTTCATCTGCTCAGCTCCCCTACAGACTGAGGGGATCAGCACCTGCACATTCCCACTGCGCCTCTGAGATTGGATATTTTGTTGTGAGCACATAAAAAAGGTGAAGAGGGCTGCTGGAATGGGGCTCGTATCTTGGAGAGACCACTCTTAGTAGGGGTGGAAGGGAGAGAGAAACAAGGTCTCTTTGGCAACATTCATGACCTCCTATTGGAAAGCACATTGCGTAACTATTCTTACATCGATCTTGGATGTCTTGCAGAAAGCGCCCACGGGGTGCACATGGTCATAGAGGATGATGACCCCCACCATGACCCTCATGCAGAACATCAGCGTTTCCTCGCTCGTAAACCTGCTCCTGTACTCCCTGGGAGAGAGAAGGAACAGCAGTGGGGTTACTTCCGGGCCCGAGCACGCTCATTTCCGGCTCTACGCTGGCTGCTTTAGATTTCTCCGATCCTCTCCCGAGAACGATCCCAGACCTGCACCCAGCAGGTTAATGTGCTCTTCTAGAAACCCATGATGATAATTCTCCTTGAATCCAGCCAACCAGCAATTCAGTGCGAAAATAAGGTAAATTAGAGGGCAGTCAATTCCCTTCCCTTCTGCCCTTCAGCGAGCCAGCTCATCGTGTACATCACTCTCCACCCATCAATCTCGAATATTTTATAGCAGTTCCCTCTGGCTGTCCAAGATTATAGAGAATAATGGCTTCATTATAGAGAAAAAGAATCAAGCTCATTTCCACAGGGCAGCTATCGTGTCTCCAGTCAGGGTAACTTCCTTTGTTAAGATACGGGCTGCAGATTGAATTAAACTGTGGAAGGTGCCTAAAAGAAACGATGTACCATTCCCTGGGCTAAGAGCACTTGTGAAGTTTGAATTTCGTTCACCTCCCCTGTCAGGGCCTCTGATATTTCAGATAATGCAGGCCAATACTAGAAGCTTTCTTAATATCTATGTCATTATGAACCGGCCCCACAATGAAGATGAGTACTGTTTTTGTCCCAGAATAAATCTTAACTTTGATATAAGCGAAATATTGGAACTGAATGCCATCTTACACTTGAACAGGACATCACATTTCATAAGGCATTCTTGAGACCATTGGGGCTCCCCGGCACTCTGCAACTTAGATGGCATGATGAGCATGTCATCAAGTGAGGAAACTATGACCCAGGAAGTTCAGACTGCCTGTTTACAGACCCAGAAGGGGCTGCGGGTATCGGTGGAATCCTGACCTTTGAATGTGGATTTCCTCGTTACCGTGCTGCCTTACCCTCGACCACTTTTTAAATCTAGCAATCAGTTTAAATACAAAGACACTGCGGAGAGACAGAGGGAGGTCTGCGTTATCACCCTTGCAACAGTCTTACCACTTCTTTTAGTTCTAAGTCTTCTCTCAACTCTTTTCTCCAAAATACTTATAGTAATACCCAGTTATTCCACCCTATCCTCCATTTGATTCTTATACAATTTCTATAGCATCTTTGACTTGAGTCTTGGTTCCGCCATCTAACAAGCTATGCAATCTTTGAAAAGCCAGCCTTGGCTTCTTTAGTTCTAAAATGGGATAACTATCCCTATCATCCAGAGTTCTTTATGAAATCAATTCAGAGAACAGATGTATAAATGTTGATGTGCTGACCCGATGTATCAACAGGCTCTGCCTGGGTAAGGTCCCCATCACAAATACATCTCTGATGCGACTTACGGTGTTTCCAGCATGACTTTACAGACACTTGTCATCGTACTGAGGCAGTCTGTGGTGTTCTCTATTGGCAGGGTTTTGTTCTAAATGGGAGACACAAATGGATGGTTAGCCCTGCTAGCAGCTTTTATGTGCAATTAAGAAAAAAGCACCTCATTCTTAACTCCACTTACTTCGGAGACAAAGTGCATTGTGGCATTGCTAAGGGTTTTCAGCATTGGTGTAGCTTCTGCATAGAAGAGGGACATTCGATTGGCCATCTCATTATTGACTTCATTCTCGATGTCTAGCTGATGAAAATAAGAAGAGAAGATGCAATTGATAAAGAGACATTCAAAATCCCCAAACGATGTCTTCCGGAGATTGAATTACAGACAAGACTCTGTCTTCTCCCTGTGCCCTGCCTGAGGCAGATGTCAACAGGGACGTGGAGATTGGGTATCTAGACCCAGGAGACCCGGGGACTCACGTGCATGTTGTTAATGCGGTTGCGACTTATTGTCCTCCTGTAGTAGCTGAAGTCGTTCTGAATAGCTGGGTTCCTCATCTGAAATTCAGAAGAGAGGAAAGAAGGTCTTCCATCAGCATCAGATGGGGATATGTCTGGGGAGCCCAACACTACCTTTGGAAATACACCAGGACTTTGACTCCTTGTCACACAAGAGTGAAAGCAACTTCTGGTTTAAAAGAAGTACTCAGAGCTTCATTACTTAAAAATATGCCCTGTTTTTACTGCTGACTAGACTTCAGGGAAAGCATGTTTGTTCTCAATGAGGAACAGACTCAAAAAGGTTTTCTCTTATTGCATAAGGCAGATTGTGAATTTTTAAGTAAAAAACACCATCTTAAGTCACTTTTATGATGAGTGCTAATTCTCACCACATTCTATGTCTCTCTAGGGAAGGAGCTACACCTCCCTCATCTCTCTCTATCCCCCCACCCTCCAGCTCTGCAGAGAACCTGTACACAGCAGGTCCTCAGCACCCATTTGTCCAGTTGTCAAAGATACATGGCCTAACCTTTAGCTCATCGAATCGGAGGGTAAAATGCAGAATTTCTGCAAACTCCTTTGCCAGGGCCTGCTCCCGCTCCAGGTGCTGGGTTGGCGTGTAGGGTGGACAGGTCAGAGATTCTAGTAAACTCTGGAGAGCTTTTTCTGAAAGTCAGAGGGGTAAACACATATTTGAGGTGGCCTACTGAGGTCCTTTCAAAAGCACCCTGTGCAGCTCCAGTTGACATTCTTAGAGAGAACCTGATGGGGTCCTTCCTCTCCCTGTCCCCTGTAACTGTGCTATGTGAGCGGTGTGGACTGGGAAGAGGAGGAACTTGGGCTGAGCAGGCCGCCTCCACTGCTGACCCCTCCCCCCACCACACTGTTACGCAAATGCCTCTCAAAGCTCAGCTGTACCTTTACCAGTTCCAGTGCTAACAGTGTTAGAAAACCATGAATGCATGTTTTGGGGCATGAGATAGCCATTCATGATCCAGGATGACAGAAGGTGGCCCTGAACATGTGGGTTAGATAACCTGCCGGGAGAGACCTCGGGTCGCCTTCCAGCGCTTCTCTGCATCAAGTGTCACCTAATCCCAACAATGTTTTTCTACAAACTCATTGCCATATCTACCTCCATTATTGCCCCTGAAACAGTCTCATTTACTCCCACTTGTCTGTTTCTAAACATTCCTTCCAGTTTTCACTTGAATATATTTCTAACAATACTGAGTCGTTAATCAATCCTCTACATTAGGGGATGGTAAACTATGGCCCCCCAGGCCAAATCTCGCCTGCTTTTTTTAGAAGTTTTAAATAAAATAAATAAGGTTTTATTTAAAAATAGCCACACTCATTCCTCTACATGTACTGGCTATAGTTAGTGTTGTGCGGCAATGGCAGAGTTGATTAGTTGCAACAAAGATAGAATGCCCTGCAAGCTTCAACTATATATTATCTTGTTTTTTACAGAAATGTTTGCAAGCACTTGCTCTATAGCCCTTAGATTTCCATCACAGCATCTTTACAAGCGTGTTTCCAGCCTTTTTAATCTCTAGGAATGCCCTGTCTTCTGAGGCAGCTAGTTCTACCTTGGCCTGCTCAGGCAGGTGGATCTGTTTCCTGCTCTTGAGCTGAAACGTGGCTCCTTAGGGTTTCGGTTTATTGGGTCTAGACATAGACTTTGAGGAAAGAAAGAAACTGATCCCTCATCAACCTGAGAGTCTTCAAAAACTGGTTCAGTCCATTCAACTACTCCTTCTGGGTCTTAGCCTCAAGTTCCTTCCACATCAAGTCTGGTATTTTCCTCAGTGTCTCTGTTTTCCTCCTAAAATATTCCATTCATTAATGGCAAAAGCAGAGAAGAAGAAGACTACACCCTTCCTCATTCTAGATATATTATATTAGCAAATGAAACATTAGATAGCTTTCTTGGTGAGGGGAGTAGTTACATTACATTGGTGGTCAAGTTCAGTCTATTGTCAAGCAGACTTGACTTTACTCTTACTTCTGCAAAACCATCCTGTACCTGTACAGGGTTGTATTATTGGTTTTGTTGTTGTTGTTGTTGTTGCTGTTGTTTGTTTGTTGGTTTGCTTTGGTTTAGTCTAAAGCTTAAGGGCAGAACATTTTGTTTGTATTAAATTTATCACGTGACTCCAGCCAACCAAGTTCTCCTTGGGTTAGCAGTAACGTATGTCTCCCAACTTCTCTATCATCGAAAAATAGGATCAGACCACAGTGAAACTGTTAAGAGTCAGGCTTAGCTGAGAACAAGACTAAAGGGACCACTGGTAGAGACACTCTATATGTGTCAAGAAATTCAGATGAAGAAACATTGAGGTGACTTGAAAGAAATGAAAACAGGTGCTGTTGTCCACGAGTGGCCTCTGGTGACACAGAGGATGGATGTGGGACATTTCCTAAGGCACCAAGTCCTTCCTGTGACTTTCACAAACACCTAGTAGAACTTCACATGTGGGGCATGACAATTACAAACACAAACTCACCTAGCCTTATGGAAAACTCATAAAATCTCTTTAGCCTCACGACCAGAGGGCACACTGCATTCCAAGCTTTTTCTTGAAGCTGGATGTCATTGGGATTTTGAATTGCCTATGAAAAAAAAAATCACAGAACTGTTTAGAAAGAAGCAATAAGCTCCATGTGAAAATGACTGAAGACTGAGAGAGGACTTCAATTTTAAAAAGCACAGCTTCTGATGTACTTTGCTAACGTGTACTTCTGAAATTGACATCAGTTCATCGGACTCTCCTCCAAGATGTCAGTTAGCATGTGGATTTCAGAACGTGAATATAATGCAAGTGACTCTGCAATTAGATCCTGTGTCCAATTACTTGTTTCTCTTACCTTAAATGTAAAAAAAAAAGCACATCTAATTGGAAGCAATGCAATGCTCCTCCGTCACCAGTTATTCTTTTAAAGTAGAGCTGGTGCTCATTATGAAATGAAAATTCTGTACATCTTTTCCGTTCTCTGTAATATGTATCACATTCCTGCCAGTCTGTGATGTTACCTAAATTACCGAAGTAAATGGTGACCCCCTAAGTAGAAAAACGACCTTTTAACAGGCTGTTACTTTCTTAGAAATGCTGTTTTGTCTGGGTTTCAGCAGCTGGAGAATTGTGATCTTAGCCATGTTTTTTTTTTCCGGAGCAATTTTGGCAGGGGCCGTAGGTGTGTGCGCACCCACGCATGTATGTGTGTGTTGATACTTCCACAAAACTATTTCAAATAAAAACAGTGAGAAGCTTCTTGCCTTGAAGGCATTTTGAAGTCTCAAAAGCCACACTGACAATTTCCTTTTTTGTTTTGGTTGATGTTTTGTTTTTCATGTATTTATTTTTAATCACAAAGTTGGTTCAAAATGACAGGCTTGTAGGCTACTAAAACTAGATAGTTTATGACTCTTGTTTGCGGTGCTGGTGGAACCTGCCCAAGTTATTACAAAATGTTGGAAAGTTCATGTAAACCCAGACCTCATGACTCGTATTTCAGCTGTTGTTCATAGACTTTATATGTACATTTCCTTCAAATGAAGTAATAGACTGGCAAATTATTGTTTAAATGGGAGTCCTGTCATATCACATGTATGTCTGAGAAGAGAATGTCTAATGTTTGACATGGTCTACAGCAGTGTGTGCCCAGATTAATGTACTGGAAGAAAGGGGCCATTCATACATTTTTTTTAAGGACACATTACCATCCTTGTTCTTCCTACCACACTAGGAAATACTAGGTCTATTGCTTAATGTTGCTGTGTGTGTGTGTGTGTGTGTGTGGGTGTCTCTTCTCCTCCAAGGGTGCTGTCAGTTCAGCGCTATCACTGGCGTACATCTCGGATCTCCGGCCCCGCGCCCTTGTAAGCCTGCAGGTCTGCGAGGATGCTCTCGGAGTCCTGGAGGACGGCGCTGATCTGGTTCCACACTTCCCTCTCTCCTTCTGTGGGCTGGGCATCTAAGCAGAAGGGAAACAAAGACATAGAGCACTTGTGTTTACAAACAAGTGGGGAAGAGGATCGCATGCAGTTCTACCTGTTAGACAATCTTATTTTATTCCTGCAGGGTTGGTATTTACTCTTTAGTATAACAAGCTACTGGGAAGGGAAAATTAACACAGCTTATGCCCATTATTCGGTGCAAAATAGTCATCAATCTTTCTGCACACCTGAAACCAAGCATGTTGGAATCATTGTAAGGACTCCTTTACTTGCTGAACACATTTTTTACACACCTACGAAGTGTTGAGTAGTGTACTGGGTGCTATAAAGTATAAACATTGTCTTTTTGAGTCCAATTTTTAAAAAAAAATCCTCACCCAAGGATAGGTTTATTAATTTTTTTTTTTTGAAGAGAGAAAGAGGCATCGATGTGAGAGAGAAACACCAATCAGTTGTCTCCCGTATGTTTCCCAACCAGGGATCAAACCCACAACTGAAGTATGTGCCCTGACTGGGAGTAGAACCCACAAAGTTTTGGTGTATGGGATGATGCTCCAGCCAATTGAGCCACCTGGCCAAGGCTGAGTCCGCTTTTAATAGGAAAAGCTATTGAATATTTTCCATTATGATTAAAAATCTGTGAACCTGAGTATAGATGGGAAAAACCATCCCCCTCATATTGTCCTATAAAAATCAGCTTAAAGATTAGATAAGTACCCTTCAGAGCCATGATAGAGATTCATCTCTGCAGAACACAGTGCAGTATAGAAAACACTGAGATTTCTCATTGAACATGAAATAAGAAGTACAGGAGTTCACATTAGAGACACCTATCTACACTGTCTTGACTGCGAATGTTACCTACAAAAATAAGTGACATATTCAAGCTTAATAAATGAAAAACATATTGTAACAGTCATGGAAGCATCCCCTTAGCTTCTCAGCGAATTTTCACTTGGTTACATCCCTATAGCCAAGAAATGCTCTTGTCCCAGGAGCTGGAGGTTTATGCAGGCTGGTGGTTGAAAGCTGAGTGGTGGTCAAGACTGGGTTTTTTTAATCCCACAATACCTATGAAATGGGTTACTTGCCTGGGCTGGTAAGAACATTAATCTTCATCTAAAACAAAGGCACTACTAATGAAGAACAGAGATAGATGTCATTTCCTCAAACTCTGTTTCCAAAAAGCTAAGTCCCAAGGCACTAAATTCTTTCAGAAGACCTCATGAATGAAAGGGCTGGACAGAGTCATGCCTGGTCTAGTACTCCCCAGGTCAAATCCCAGTTTTGATTAATCTTACTGGAAGCACAAAAGGTTTACCCTGCAAAATGTAATAATTCACAGTGTTACTCAGGGGGTATGAAAGAGAATTCACAAGGCAGGTGATTTCTAAGCCCGGCACTGACCAAGCTAACCGGGCCTTTGGAAAGGCTGAGTAGTGGAGTAGAGTTAGGCCAGCTGTGGCTGGTCCTGCTCAGTGACCATCTGCTGGACCTGCACTAACCCAAGGCCAGACCCTTCAGCAGCAATGCCCATGGGGAATTGTAGACCATTTACTTACCAGGTCCTGCTAAGACCTAAGACATTGGTAGGGTCACCTGGGAAATGAAGGGCGCAATTCTCTTTAGGAAACCAAGAACAAAAGCAACGACCCTATAGATTCTTCAGCAACTTTGCAAACTACACCTTCTGGGAATGAGATGGAGTTCAGCCAAGGAATGAGGAAGGGTTCAAGTACATGCACACCGGGGTTCAGAGAAGAAAAAGACCCATGTGGGCTGGGAAGAGTGGAATCCACTTCACGTGAGGGACGGGGCCCAAGCAGGACAGACGTAAGGCGAGGGGAGTGTGCCTGCAGACAGCATGGGAGAACTGGTCACTGGGAGAGCAAGCCAGGGCCTGGAGCAGGGACGAGATCCCCCAGGCTGGAGCGCAGGCAGCAGCTCGAAAACAGACGGGAGAAGGAACACGTTGCTCCTTTGTCTTTTGTGACCTTCCATGCTTTCCCACAAGCACTTGCTAAGTTTCCTTGTCCACGATACTATCCACAATATTAACCACTTGATAGTTGAGCTTTTTGTGCTTTTCCAAACTTCTCTCTAAATGGTGGGGGTGTCTTAAAACAGAAATCTAAAACCCACCAACTATGAAGGCTGAAGAAAGTGTTTCAGTGGAACAGAATTCCGGGGTAATGCTGGCAATTTTCAAGTAAGAAGAAAGGCAGGAAAGAGAACACAGGCAAAAATGCAAAGCAAAGATCCTAGCAAACAAATAAAAATCAAATGTGCAAATCCTGTCCCCTTTTGATGAAGGTACCAAAAAAAAAATCACAAGCTAAACAAAGACAATTTTCTTTAAGAGATACATGTTTGAAGAAGAGAAAAAGAAAAATTGAGTCTGTGACCAAGATTCTGAGGTAGAAGTCTATTTGACTATAATTATAAAGTAGGTGTAAAAGGAGAAGATGCTGGAAAACCAGAAGATGAAGCCTTCTAATCTTGGCTGCCACATGGCTGTAGCTTAGCAGGCCACCACTTGATAAGTTTTAAACAAAACAGAATTAAGGCTGAGTGGGCTGGAAGAGGGGTGCTAGAAAAACAAAACCCCAAAACCCATCCTTTTGATGATTACTGAAACACAAAAGGAGAAAGATTTCAAAGTCAGTTTTTAAAAATAGAAGTCTTAAGTGCTTCCCAAAGAAGACAGTTTCTGATAGAGCGGCCTAAAAGTAGTGCTGGCTGTGGCTAAGTGGGCTTCCCCTTCCATCCCAGGTGAAGTGACACTTTCTGATACCGAACGTTTGTGTGACGACAAGGAGCTGGGCCTGGAGCATGGGAGAGGGGGCGGCGGGGTGGGGGGGTGTCCCTTCTCTCCCAGAGGAGGCGGAGTTGATGGCAGCGGCGGGGTGGGGGGTGGGGGGACATCCTGCCACACAGCAACCCCCTCCTGGCAACTGGGATGATCTGAGGAACAGGGCCCTCCATCCCCAGCCTCGGCCCCTGGGAAAACATTTCTCTTGGCAGATGTCCTGGCGTCCTGTTTGAAATGTTTCTTGTGTGGCCCATTTAGCAGGGATGGGGAGGGAGAAACCCAAGCACCTTTCTTTCTTTCTTCCCAGCTTAGAATGGAGCTGGCTCATTTTCTTCCCTACTTTGTGGGTGTTACGGCATGCCTTGTTTTTCCCTCCTTCCCTTGTTATGGACCTGAACTCACCTCTTCTTCCAGGTAATAATTAGGTCCTTGATACCATAAACACAGTCCCTGCCTTCTGGGCCAGGGTTAGGGTTTGTCTCAGGGGACCCAAATCCTAAGTGGCATCAATTTTCAAGGAAAAAAAATGCTGATTCGGGGGAGCTCTCGTCTGTTTCTCTGTTTCTCCTTCCAAATGGGAAAAGGACTGTGTAACCTTCGGTGACATCTGGCATTGACCCATGTCCCTGTGGAAGCCCATAATTCCTCCTATTTTTACCCTCCAGCTAAATGACCAGTCAGGACTGATTAACGAGAATGTGATCCATTAGGGTGTAGGACGCTGGGCTTGTTTCCTTTCACATTGTGTCCCCCAGGTCTAGCAAGTACCTGGCACATAATAGGTGCTCAAGGAATATTTGCTGAATGAATAGTTGAATAAGTGATTTAAATATATTTCTCACACTATGTTTTGTGACGATTTTCCCGCTTGTCTTGGAATTCTGCGATCTTTAGAGAGGAAGCTGGTATTCTTGCCTGCAGAGCCTCTATGTGCGCTACCAATCAGAGACTCTCAATAAACATGTTATGAATCAATGAACAAATGAGGCTCTTGACCAGGTGGCAGAGAATGTGGGTGTTGGGAAGCAGTGGAAAAAAACAAAATCTTATTACTTCTAGGTGCTGCTCTCTGTTTCTTCTCCTCAAATAGCTGTCATACCTCTCACTGTTACCATGAAGATACATGTATTTGCTTACAATCAAATCAGCTATTCACACTTTCCTTACGATGTGTGTTTTTAAATCATTCACCATTTATCTATGGCCTCAATGTCTCCTCAGTGTTGTTAACACACTAACAGGGTATTTGTTGAGTGAAAAACTGCAACTATGTTTACTCTCCCAATCTTAAGGCTCTTATCATTTTGCTTTCTGGAATATTCCTTTGAGAGGCATTGGGGTTTATACTTTTGGAATTCTCCATATTGGTAACCATATTTTGAAAAATTTATTGTGTCTGCAGATGTCAGGAGAGACATCTTGAAAAAGACTTTTATGAATTAGTGATTGAAAAGGTTATTATATCTAACTTATCAGCAACCTCACAAAGCATTTGCTGAGTGAACACGAACTCTGAATTACAGGCTTCGTTTTTTTATTTTAATGCAAAGATTGACGTTTAGTCAAAGGTACACACACACAATGTCCACCAATAACATTAGTGGTGGAAATGGGTCTTTATTTCCCAATGCAGCCAGTGAATCCTTTTGTGATGTTTCATCTAAGAATCACATTCTAAATTCCTAATCGTCCCCAATGATTTCATTGAAATTGAGGAGAATGGTTACATGGAGCTGGGCTGCTCCTGTCTAACAATGAAGCTGTTAAAAATCACCGTGATTTACACGGGCAATTTCAGAAACCAATACTTCCAGGAGCCTTGGAACCAGCCCATCCAGGCCATTCCCCGGGCAATGATTTAAACCCCTGTCCTGTACTTGCTATTGTGGAAAGTGCAAAAATGTATCATGTGCTCTGTGACCTTGAATACATGCATTTATTCTCAAGAACTCACTGAATGCCAAGTGCCTTGAATTTTTAATGGAAAAAATTCCCTCATCAATTAAGAGCGTTAAACCGGTATTCATTTTGTTTGCTGGGGAGCTGTTTATCCCTCTTTGGCGCAATTTGCCAGTGACGGTGGATAGTAACTGTCAGCGTGTTGGTGTCGCGGGTCAGGTGGAAGACTGTGATATTTACTGAGAGCAGAATGCCTGGCATTCCACTGTGGGGGGAGCAAAGGGGGGGTATGTGTTTTGTTTGTCAGGAATGCACATCTTAGGTGAACATACCCCAGGGCGGGACAGCAGCCTCAACCCAGAGCAGAGCTGTCACATCAAAAGGTTCTTATCTTTGCGAATCAGCCAAGGATGCCATCTGTCTTCACAAGCAGCAGGAGCACACATACCTTCACCTAACAACCTATGCGGGACTGTATAGAAACTCTGACAGAGAATCAAACAAATTCGCCAAAGATAACATGAGGGGAAGACACAATTTATTTGGAGATGTCTTTGGCTTTGAAGGAATCCCTGGCATTTCATCAATGGGATATATCACTATCTCGTCAGGCCACCAGCTGTTGTATAAACACCAGGAAAGGTACAGCAAAAGGATTTGCCGGAGCCATAAATTAAACTTTTAGCACTTCTTCCCAGCCCACTTCCTCACTCCTCCACCCTGCTCCTTTTCGGGGGAAACAAAAAAAAAAACATAAGTAACTATCTACTATTAACATTTGGGGGTGTAAAATGGCAATGATTTATAACACAATATATAAGTGCTTACAGAAACAACATAAAATCGCACCAGGTCCGTTGGAAAATGTGTGACTGGGGTGACACATTTTATTTGTACAGGAACGTTAGGCACCCCACACCGGAGCCCGGAGCGCTTTCCCAAGGAACAACCAGTGAGGCACTGCAAAGAGCAGTGACATTAGAGGTGCCTGACGGCTTGTTTACCTTGTTCACATGCAGTGGGACCCCTGTGATGTCACAGGGGGAAGGGGGAACGCCAAGGACGGAGCTTTTTGAGACCCAGATCCTATTGCCAGTTTTGCCATTCGCTATTAGACCCCAGGGCAGACCAATTAATCTCTCTGGGCCTCAGGTTAACTCTTGGTATAGAGAGAAGTTAAGAAGAGGCCCCTAGTAAAGGCCCCATCTCCTCCCTGTATGGTCCTGTAGGTCATAAGGAAGATGTGGACGTAGGTGAAAAGTACTTAAAAAGTGAAAGTACTAAAAATTTAAGGAATCTGCAAAAGCAGATTCTTAGGACCAGACCACTGAATCAGAATTTGGAGGTAAGGCTCAGGCAACTATGCAAAAATGTTTTTCCACCTGTTTCTAATGATCATTTCAGTCTGGGAGTCACCGGACAGATTTCACTGGAAGACTAATGTCTGCTGCCCACTGGGTGTGCAGGAATGGGTGGTTCGGCTGAAGGATTATCAGCAGCTCTTCAGGCACACATCTTTCCGTACACTGTCCCCAAAAACCCATCACTCATGAAAGATTAGGTTGCATTTTACTCCCCTTCTGTCTCTCAGCCTTCAAAGAGGAAATGTAGACATGACAAGTAGAGAGAGAAAAAGAAAAAAAGTAGTGAGATGAAAAAACAACAATGAAAAAGATGTTAAGTGGTTGTGCAGAAATGTGAGCATAAAGTATAGCCCTCACTGCAAAGGTCAAACAAGAATTTAAATCAGATCTACACAACTGGAAACCTAAGGACAGATGTGTCTAATTTTGTATTATATTTTGACCTAGCTTAATTATATCTATTTGACCTAGTTCAATTATATTCCATCACTGACTTCAAAAAGAATATTCAGCACTCAAAGCAGAGGTGCCAAATTCATTTAAGCTATTGCTGCATGCTGTTCAGCCCTGCTTCCTCCCTCCGCTGCTTACTCCTTAACTCTTTGCAATCCAGCCTCTGCGCTCAAAGCAATAAATCTTAAATGTGTTCTTCCAGTGGCAACCAGGAGAGGAGCTTACTACGCAACTCATCATCCCCCTTTCAAGTGTGGCCTTCTTGACCATGCTGCATTTGAATCCATTTACACTTCCTTGTTCTTGAATGTCTGTGCTCTCCTGGATCTAGCCTGTTTTGTTCTGTTCTGTTCTGTTCCTCCACATGACCAGCATTTGTTCCTAAGTCTCATTCAGTGATCAATGTACCATGCTAAACATGAGCTAAGTTCTGGGTCACAAAACTGAGTAGGGCCCAGATTCCATCACCAAGAGTTTCAATTTACTAAGATATCCTTCTTCCTCTACAATGTAGCCCCTTTCCTGGATCCTCTAACTAATCAACTCCCCCTTTAAGCAAGCTGGAGTTGATTGGGTTTCATTGGATTTGGTTAGGCTTGGTTGTGTTTGGTTGGGTTTCGCTGGGTTTGATTGGGTTTGGTTGGTTATGGCTGGGTTTAGCTGTTTGGTTGTGTTTGGCTGGATTTGGTTGCATTTTGCTGGATTGTGCTGGGTTTAGTGGGATCTTGCTAGGTTTAGTTAGATTTGGTTGGTTTTGGTTAGATTTATCTGGGTTTGATTGAGTCTGGCTGGGTATAGTTGGATTTGGTTGGATTCGACTGTGTTTGGCTGGGTTTAACTGGTTAGACTCTTTTCAGGTCTAACTTTAAAAGCCTTTAAAGTGATAAAAGTAAAATCTTCAGGGTTTTAAAGCAGTGGATGTTCTCAACTAGTGTTCTCTGGAGCACCAGAGTTTCAAAGTTATGTCTACAGCCATCATTCTATTCCCGACTAGAGGGGGACATCTAAGTCATCTACAAAGTAAGATATCTCATTGGAAAAATAAGAATTTTGGTGTTTTGATTTTTCAAATCTTATTTCATAAAGTTGGTTTTCAAGAAAGAACCATAATGGGCTAGAAGGGCAGGGAAGGAAGGTTGTAGTCATGATTCTCCTTGAGTCTGTAGATTCCTGCTCGGTAGTAACAGTATGTTGAGTATGTTGAGTGCCCAGGTAAGTCAGGCAACATTAGGGAAACAAGGGCAACCAAGAATGGTCACTGCTTAATGAAGTCTTAGGCATATGTGGAGGACAACATGGGCAGGCAGGTCAACACACAAGATGAAATAAAGGGCTTAAGAGAAGCACGGAGTGGTCTGGGAATAAAGAGGGAGAAAGAGTATACCTTCAGTTTTAGGAAATTGAAGACCACAGAAGGAATTGGAGCAGCCTTCTAGTTAAGAGGTGGTATTTGGAATGGGCTTTAAGAATGAGTGTTTTTTCTCATAGACCAGGAGAAAAGATTTCCAACAGATGGCAGTGAGGATAGAAATAGGAAGGCTATGTTTGGAGAATAGCAAGAGGCCCCATTTAGGGCACCAGATGTTTGTTGGAAAGGAAATGGGCACTGAATGGACGGCTGGCTTGGGTTAGACCATGAGAAGCACAGCAGCTGAGGCCTGGAGGTCTGTAACTGCAGCTCCTCTCAAAGAGAGTAGCTGATATCACTGGGGGAAAGCTAGAGAACAGATGAGATCTGAGTAGAAGGAAACCTAAGGTGCATTTATGCTTAAATGGGGGTTGATTAGTTAGAGGATCCAGGAGAGAGGCTGCACTGTAGAGGAGGAGACATAGCCAACCAAACAACAGCAACAGCAGCCGCAAAATGAGTTAAATTAGAAGTGAAGTGTCTTTCACTGAATATAATCTAGATTAAATATTTTTGTTCTTTTCAGAACACATGAGCATTAGGATAACTCTTCCTGATTTTCAAGTAGTTACTTTAGATCCAGTGGTGATTCCAAAAAGATACATCCAGAGAGCTTTCACTGTTTGGTTTACTGCACCTTGACAGAGTCGTCTAGCATTTACTTAGAAAATGTCTATTAGAAAGTTTAATCTATAGGTAAGGAAGTTTCAACTTACTTTTAATATAGATAAAATACTTGAAAAATTAAAGTTTAAAGCAAACTAAGGTCTGTAATAGATCATGAATACTGGCAAAAATGACATTTAAAAGTGACTGTGCCTGATATTATAGAATGTAATTCAAAAAATGCAGAACACAGGAGGAAAGGTAGAAACATGAGCTTACTTAATTAAACATGAATGTGTCACTAACTTGTAAATATAGTCAATCAAGAAAATAAACAAGATGAAGAAAGAATCTCTGTTTTAGTCATGATTCACAAGCCCCTTAATCTTAGAAAAATATTTAAAGTTTTTGATAAAAGAAGCATAACCTTTCAGATAAAAGATGTGGATCTCAAAATCTTGAAATAGTGTTGTATTACTAAATAATATATAAAGAAGAAACAAAGATGACTAAATCATCTGTAAGTCTTATTTCTGGTATTGATCACTTTTTCTTTCATGTCTGGCGAATATTCGCTTTACATTAATTTGTGCAAATTACTATGCATACTACTTTTCTTTGGAATATGACATAGAAATTCACAAATATTATTAGGAAAAATACAAATGATGATTTATGCTACACATCCAAAAACTGATCACTCCTAAAATCAAAGAAAACTATGGAAACCTTTAAAAATATTTTTAAAAGATGTTTCATTTAGTATTTAAAAATGTTATTTATTTATTTTTAGAGAGAGGGGAAGAGAGGAAGAGAGGGAGAGAAACATCTACGGGTTTCCTCTTGCACACCCCCAACTGGAGACCCGGCCCACAAAAAGACGTTTCATTTAGTTTAGTTTTGTTTTTTTTAAAAAGGAAAAGAAAGAAGGAAAATGATTTTTGAAAACAAGAAAACTTATGGTGACATCTGAAGGCTTAAGTATCATATAAAATGTTCATGTTATAACTTCCCTATCAGCAAGCTATAAAGTGAAAAGTTTTCATAATTATCTTTTAATTTTTAAAACTTACTTTCAAAATCCAGAAAAAAATGTGGATAGTTTTCAATTTCCCTGGTAAGGACTTTGAGCAGGTTTCCCATGCCAGCAAACCTAGGAAAGGCAACAAAACCAAATATCATTAGCAATATAAAAAATGAACTTCTAAAGCATTGACCATATTTGACTAACTTGCACAAATACCACGAGACCCCCGTAACTATGTCTTCACACCCTGCAAAAAACAGAGATGAGTAATAACTTAGCCACTCTTTCCATTAAAAGAATCAGGTATTTTAGTTACAAGAGGCAGAGTTTAGGTATGTTCTACAAAGTGTTTCTTCTCCCCATTCACTAATTCCCTGAATCCTCAAGGTTAATATTTCAGCTTTGCTTTGTTTCTCTTCCATTGACATGGGGACATACCATGTCAATGGGCAAGCACAACAGAGAGGGCTTTATTAAAATATCTGTCCAGAGAGAGAAGTTTCTTAAAGTTCCTGAGAAAGAGTTTAGAAAACACAGATGCACTACTCCAGGGACTCTTTTCAGCCTCTACAGGAGGCCATGTTTCCCAGCGGTACAACTTCCAGGCAAATCGAAGGCTGTCATAATTTGGCATTTCAGTGCTAATTAGGTGGGGTACTTCACGAAATGTAAAATATGAGAAGGTATACTATCCAAAGTGTATTCTTAATGAAATTGCACCCGAAGGCATTGGCAAAAATAAATCAAATCTACAGAGAATTACAAATTTGTTACTTGCAATCTCAACCCCCCCCAAAAAAAAGCCAAACGTAGTTATTATTTTAGAAAACAGCAAAATTTCTACAGTTCTCAGCTCTAGACCTTAACTCATATTCTTCAGGAGGCTACCCATTCCTTCATTCAGCACATATTGATGGAGTCGCAGTTCTATGCTGGGTGCTGTGCTCTTTGCAGAGCATTTCTCTAACTCATGACTCAGACACCTCAGCTTATGAGAGAAAGACTTGGAAATCACTGGACTTGAAAGAAGCAGTTCCCATGGTTGCAGGAGGTGGTATAACCTAGGGTCCATAATCCTCCCCTGAGAAAACACCCATATACTTGCAGCCGCCATTTGTGGTATAAGTCACTAGCGTGAAGCTAGAAAAGAGACAATTTAGGGAGGCCTGCTTTCAATCCTAGCTGTTTTCTGCTAGCTCTGTTATCCGGGTCTACTTTACTCTTGAAGCCTGTTTTCTCATCTGTAAAATGAATTGTTAAATGTATCTATTTTATCCAGTCATGAGGATTAATGAGAGAAAAATAAAATGCTTAGCACAGCACTTATAGGAAGGGCTCAGGAAATGTTACGTGCTGTTACTGTTGACAATGATAACAATGATAAATTCCACCACCATCATCATCCTCATTATCACCACTGTCTTCAAATAATTATTGAGGATTCTCCTAGGAAAGGTAATTTAGACATGTTGCATGCACCTTTAGGAAAGAGAAAATAATGAGTAAGACCTTCATTCAAGGTCCTAAAGGTCATAAAAAATTCCTAACCATTACTGTTGTCTGAATATTAAATCATTTGCTATGTGAAATAGTGAGCTTCTTATCGTTGGAGGTGTTTAAGTAGAAATATACTATATCAATCCTTTAAAATATTGTAAAAATGAGCTATATGTTGGGCAGTAGGCTGGGCTGGATACTTTTTAGAACTCTCTCATCTTGAAGTACATAAATATTTGGGCATGCAAGCGAGCATGCACACACACACACACACACACCAATTAAGAGGCAGCCACCATGCTTCTCTCCTCCAAAAGAATCTTCCCTATTCATTCTGTCATTTTTCTTTTCCTCCCTTGCCTTTATGCACATCTCCTTTTAGTATACTTTTGAACAGAGCTCTCTGTGGGGTAGGTTCTACCAAATTAAAATTTGGAACCATTGCAGCCCATCCCAGCCACTGGGCAACTTGAACCTCGGGGTCTCTAGAAAGGAATCTCTGTCCAACTTAATGAATGATTCCAATCCAGACCTGGAGGCCCTTCTTGTAGGAAGATGATTTCCTGGTTAGTAGCAGCCTGGCATTCAGGTAAAATACTTTAATGGAAGTTAAATGTTCTTAATTTCCCTCGTTTTGTGTTATTAACGTGTCATAGGAGACCTGAGTGGATTTTGCTTTCTCCTATGATTCTGTCCTGGGCAAGATTTCACTGTCAGAAAACCTAGGTGGGAAATATGTCAAGGCTTTAAAATTAGTAACAGACTGAAAGGAACACACATGGAAATATACCCAAACATTGGCTGGCTGTAGAATTCTATCTATTTGAAAGCTATTTAATCTGGTTGGCTGATAGGATCAAATATTTTGGAGCATGTATCTTACATCAACCCAGGTCAGTTAAGGAACTCTCACTATTCTAGATGTTTGATATCAATGATTGTTGGACATTATGTAGGATTAGAGGTCAAGTCCAGTTTTATGCATCAAAAGCTCTTTGAATAAGCACAAAAACACTTCATCTCCTTCATGGCAAAAGATCTGATGCATCCTCCTTCCCTCCAAGGTCAACAAGAATTCATGCAAGTATATTTTGGTTTCAGGTGTGCAAAGTGAGTTAATCTCACACAAATGGCCACCTGCACAGAACAATTGTTTTGTTTTTTTTTGTACCCAGGGCCTCACTTGGAAAGACCCATCACCCATGAGACTTCCACTACAGCTCCAGACACATTCCTTATGACAGGGATTCTCTAATCTTTTCAAACAGGTCCTTGGTGTGTGCAAAACATTGCTATGTACCACATTGCTACTGAGATAGCTTAGTTAATTCACATGAAGATTATTTTTAAAATATTTTATCTTGTGCAAGAAAAGAATTGAAGAGAGGTTTTACACCATAGGGAATGCACATACTTAGATAAAGTGGGGAAAAGAGAAAAATTAAAGTAGAATAGGGAGGGAAAGGTACAGAGGTAAGTAATAAGGCTTTCACATTTGCTGGCAATGGCTTCAACTCAGTCCTGAGCTTCTGGTAGTCAAAGCAAAGTAGAAAAACTGGCCTCTTTCAAGATTTGGTGTTCAGAGAATAAAACAAATGGATTATACTACATAAGCACAGCTTTTTATGAATTTAAAAAAAGGAGAAAAAATGTGATCATGGCTCAGAGACAGTTGGGGAAAGAGAAATCTCCAGGGACGAGTAGCCACACACAGAGGAGGTAGAACAACAGTACGTAGAGCATGCTTATTTTTTAAAACTAGTGTGCTGTAGATATTGTGACGTTTAGATTTACTTTAAACACACACACACACATACACACACACCCCTCCCTTGGCATCTCTGGAGGTCACTGTCAAGTGACGTCTCCCTGGGACGGGATCTGTTACTGAGTTGCAACTGAGAGTTGTGACATCCGAGTTCATTCCTGTGAGGAGGCTCTGGTGGAGGCACAGCAAGAGAAAGTCCGAGGTCTTGGCTACCCGATGAAGAGGCAGGAGAGGGTTTATTGGGTGGATACATACTCTGGAAGATATTGCAAATACTGCCTTTCAGGTAGCTATAATTATCTTCACATTTATTGGAAGAAAAAGAGGTTCAGATGGTTAGCACAGCTCTGAACACAAGAGAATAAAAGAGAGTCACATTTACCTTTAACAGTCTGGGAACCCCAGGCCTACATTCTTTTCCACAGAGACGCTCTGGGGCTCTGGACCCCTAGAAGGTGCCTGTCTGGGCACTTGGAGAGTCCATGGTCTGTGGAAAGTGCACCCAGGGTGTTGTCCTATCATATGCAGATGCTCATCTTTCCAGGGAGAAAGGTTGCTGTTTCTGTTAGAATCCCCTGTGGCCTGCTCCACGCCAGTGCTACTTGTGGCTTGTACAGGGAGGGACACGTTTATTTAGGAATATAGAGAAGAGAAAAGGCCATGAGGAACAGGGCCTTTCAGAAAAGCTGGCTTATAGGACAAGTGCGGGGTGCCACCAAGCATGAAGGATGCTGGGTGGAGTGTGGATTAGGACTGAGAAGAGAACAAAAGGTACAAGTTGGATGACTTGACATGTCTTCCAAAAACAGAAAGCCTATTCCTCAAGGTTCATTTACCGCAAGATAATTTTGAAATGGGTCCTTTCCCATTATTTTCCAAGTAGTCTGGAAAGAGGGGGTGTCTCTCCTCCCCGCAGGAGGGCCAACAGAGCCAGTGAGGACTACTCGTGTGTCCCCGCCAAGGGAGGTGCTCATCCCCCAGGGGTGATAATTTGGGATGTACACATAGTATTTTCTACAACTACTTTCTTGGCTCTGATTTCAGAAACACTTCCAAGGGAGCTGGCTCCAGGGCTCCCGGGCGGAAAACAACTGCTCTCTTAAAGAAATAGTTCGCTACAAATATTTCTAGTTCCAAAAAAGGGGAGAGAATTAAAGCACGTGTGTACAACATGTGCACACAAGAACACACATGTACTCTCTTTTTCTCCCCCTATTCCAAACTCTGTTTTTGTTTGGGAAAAGGAAATTAAATAGTAGCATTAGTTGTATTCCCAGAATGTTAAACCAAATAAAATCAACCAGGGCTCATATTAAAAAGAGGTGGCCATAGTTCATGAGGGAATTTGTTTGTTTTCTATAAACCGGATGTAACAAAGGACTCAGGCCCGGAGCGCAGGCACTGTGAGTGCTGGCCTTTGCCTGAAAACACCAGAACATCAATGCCCGATTTTTACGAATAGAGAACAAGCACTAAAAAGACCTTTTCTGTAGGTATGACTATTTGAACGGATAATCCCTAAGCCAATACCACCTACTGTCAATAGAGAACAGAAGATGAAAAAATAAATAAGTCAGTGAATAAAACAGCAGTCCTACAGGGCTTTATTTTCTGATGTTTTTCTTAAAGCCTAAGATGATAAATAGGCAATGCCTCTATCAGAAGGCAAGGCATTTGTTCACACTTTGAGTGAGCCAAGCCTCCCCAGAATCTACAATATTTAGCATCCCTGATGAAAAGACTTTAACAAATCAAAGACTTAGATTCCCTATCCATAACTCAATATTTTGGAGGTTAAGAAATCCTGGTTGATCCAAATATTTTTTGTCAACTTAGTCATCGTATAAACCACAGACTAACC